CCACTCATGGCAATGCCCTCCGTAGAAACTCAAGGCACTGGGGGAGAATTGTCTGGTCTGTTATAGCTAGGAATAACATCCAATAGCCAACTACTTCCAATACAATACTGGCGCCATGCATGGTAATCTACAGGAGAGACATCAGTGGAAAGTAGCAAAGTGAACACTGAGTGGATATAAAAGAAACAATCATAACAAGCCTGACAGCAGGGCCCTCCACACCATCGGTGAGGGACGCCGCTGTCCCAGAGTCTTGAGACGAATCACTGGTGATGTAGTCGCTGATGCTCCAAAAACTCCTGCTTGAATCTGCGTGCACAATGTGAACATCGTGATGATTGGAACTCACGCTTCTGCTTGTCCTTGTGCTTCCTCCGGCGCCACCATTCCTCCTCCCTAATGGGATATTCAGACTGCTCGCATGTGCCACAATCCAGTCGATATCCCCACTGAATACTATTAAAAATGTCTGTGACATCTGCGAAAACTTGGATGGCATGTTTTAGCATGTAGTTGCGGGGGTTCATGTCATGTAAGATAATGCCCTCGTGTCCTCATGATCCGCATTGAAATATTTCTCGATATGATACTTACAAATTACCTTCCTAATTTCTCACACCAATGTATTATCCATTCTTAGATCGCATACTCCAGGCTGTGCATTTTCAAATATATCGATATTTTCACCACAAGAAATCCAGGTAAAATAATTCATTATCGGCACAGGGACCACGGGCATCTTCATGAGTCTGAGATCCATCATTTGAGCACTCGAAGGCAGGTGCTGTTAGAGTATGACATTAACAGCTCTTACATAGTCTATGATGTTCCCTGTATTTTTCTGATATTTGTAGTATTTTTCCCAGCACTGTAGGTGCAGTATTGAGTGAGTTACCTAGTAAGGTAACTGATGTGTAGGTGCTTAGGTAAGCACCCTGTAGCATACTCTGCTGTGGGTGTGGGAAAGTCTCCTTAGTGTTTACTTTCCTCACACTCACAGGGTGTTTGTCAAGAGTTATTCAACTGTTTCAATAGGTGCCACACATGCTGAATGCAGCCCAGCTCCCGTGTATACTGGAAGCTGCCTGCTGCACTCCGATCCTACTTTCTCCACCCTTTGTCAGCCTCCCCGACGTCATAACATGTATATTTCCCGTGTCCCACTCTCTTCGCTTTTGCAACAGACTCATCTCTTTCTGAAAAACGAATAAGCCACGTTAGTACGCAAACTCCAAAAAGTAGATCGTCAGGATTATCTCTTCCCATGGTATCGCCCCGACTCAGGTATCTCATTTAGCTGGACAGGTTGCTATCAAGTGACGTGGCATCCACATTCTTCCCAGTTCTCGTTAATACCGGGTCCGAGTTACACCAGTCTTAGAAGTACTTGGAGGGGAGCGACATTTAACAATATTCGCCGGGGTAAGCTTTGAAAATCGTCGTATTTTCAAGTCGGGGCCTATGGGAAAGAAGAACTTCAGGGTTTTCTCAAAATTTAAAGTAGAGAAGATTACTTGATGTAATGCCCCGATGCTGGCCCGATTTGGTTTAAAAGCCCCTCGTTTTATTCCAGAGTGTTGTGGCCCAAGATTGTGGATCTGGAGATTAAATAGAGATTTGGAAGACGATATGAGCTTGAATGAGCCAAATGTCGGAAAGTATTTGTAAGTGATTGTAGCCAGTTTTCTATGTGCTTCTTCAACAACTCTATTGCCAAAAAACTCATCGTCCAGTGTGGAAATTAGCCCTGGGTATTCCCGTGGAGTCGGTTTGGAAAGGTGGATGAAAGTGCTTTACTGTAATCCTAATGCCCCCAGTCTTATGCACGGACCCTTTAGTTTTACGTGATTACATAATCACCATATTTACGGTATAAGTAGCCGGGAAGTTTTCAGGACCTTAGATCTTACCGTATGCTGCACTTGCCTGTATCTTGTTCTGCTCTGGACAATACACCGTGGTCCTGTCAACTTGTGTGACCGCCAGTGATCCCAATTGACGATGGGATTACACTTTTTTTTTGACACTGGCCATTTGTTATTTCTCATCCAGCACTTCGTTGTGTTTGGCCCTCCAGACCCTTGGCTCTTTCGTTCCACTGGATCTCATTCATTCCTTCCAAAAGAAACCGACTTCTTACCTTCCTGGTCGAACCCGATCTGCAACACCACTGTTCACTCGTCAGACCGCTCGCTCACATTCCCTAGGGCTCCACACTCCCTTGTCCCGTACACGCCTCGCAACCTCGTGTATACGTGCCGCCGCACACCCTTGCAAGTGCTCCCCGTGCAAATACGCACCACCGCACCCTCACATGTGCACACATCCGCGTTGCCACACCGCTGTGGACCCTGCACATGTATGCACACCCGTGCACCCACACACGCCACTGCACCGTCGTCGAGCACCCCCACACTCGTGCACATGCACTGCAAACCCAAAATGCAAATTGGAGGTGCTGAAAGGTCCTCACCATTGGATCCCTCATTTTCCAAATACTCACCTGCATTTTGGAGAAATGTTTTATGTGAAGAATTGATGATTAGAAGCCGTTATTTTGGATCCCCTTGTTTTTTTTGTTTGTTTTTTTAGTGCCGTATCAATTTCCGTCGCTGCCGTGCGTTTTTTTGGTCGGGATACAGACTCCGCAGCCTGAAGCTCCACATTAACAGAGGAGGTCCAGCAGGGTTGAATCTGGGGTGGTGGGTTGGTTTTTGTGTGGGGAGGGGTGTAATCCTGGTGCCCCCAGTCTTACACACACGGACCCTTTAGTTTTACGTGATTACATAATCACCATGTTTACGGTATAAGTAGCCGGGAAGTTTTCAGGACCTTAGATCTTACCGTACGCTGCACTTGCCTGTATCTTGTTCTGCTCTGGACAACACACCGTGGTCCTGTCAACTTGTGTGACCGCCAGTGATCCCAATTGACGACGGGATTACATTTACAGCGCAAAGAAAGCTTCGCTAATGACAAAGTTGAAGATATACGAGCGAATGACGTGTGGAACATGAGAAGGCCAGAACGTCTTTGACAAGGTTCTACTCATGTCTGTCACGCACGACTGGGAATAGTAGTTCAAGAAAGCGTTGATCTAATGAGGCAGGGATAACACAGCGTCAATTAGTGAATCCACGCACAATCCCCACGTTTTTTTCGACCCACTTACCTGCCTCGAATTCGACAACAGGCGTCAGTGTGTTCGGGAATTCGAGTGATATGCAGTCAGCTTATGACATATTTGGCTTGGACCTTCATTTGGTTTCCCGGCGCTCGATGGGAAGACTGCAAATACGTCATCGCTTTAATCAAATCACCGCTACACCCCAACTTGGATGAGGTTGCATCAACCCAGATCGCACGACGTTTGTCATCCGATCACCAAATCTTACTTGCTGCTGGCACCACGGAAAATATCTGTCATGTGCGTCAGCTGTCTGTACCGGAGCTCACTGCCATCAGAGACTGCTTTGAATTCTGGTTGAAACCATTTGTCGCACGATCCCATCTTATCACCATATTGCAGAAAACCATAACAAACAAAATCACCAGGGAGGACGCTTTGATGTGTATCTTGTATAGCCATTCGTGCGTTGCATGTACCAAGAGGCGTGGTTTTGAGATATTGCTGGTGATGTATAAAAGGCTATAGCGGACGACACAAAGATTTATATAGCGTCATTGACAGTTCATATCGATGAGGACTCGTCACATTGGGCCCCGAAAACCTTCTTCGAGAACAGCACGCTTCGCACCGGTCACATTAACATATTTTACTTTCCATCATCGTCTCACACTCCACCCAACGATGAATTTTGCAGTAGCTGCCTACATTTTGTAAATCACATTGTTTATCCCTTCCTTTCCGTGATCGCCACTTCTCTCACTGGTGGTGTGTTGGTAACGTCTAATTCAAACCCCACATCAGTGTTGAAGAATTATGGTTGGGCTGTCAAAGGGTCTTCTCATGATCTAGGCACAACACATAGTCATTTCTCTGGATGACGCTGACATATCTCATCAAAACCAGGAGGAGAGATAGTGCTATTACTCCCCGATTAAATCGCTTTGTAACCCGACTTACAAGTTGTATGACGATGCATAGTTTGGGGCAATGTATAGCGCATACAGTCACCTTTTACCATCCTCCGGTGTTTGGGAGCTCCTCGTTCATGTCATACGTATGTAGAATAATATTTGGCTTGGGAGTGGCTAGAATCGCCTCTGATTTATAAACGACAACGAGTCCACATGGAATAATACTGATAATTCTCAAAAGACAGCTCCAATCACCGTGATTCCTGTGTCACTTAATTGGGATAGCATGAAAAAGGTCATTGAAGAACAGCAAAGAACACCAACAACAATCAATCCATGGCAACGTTTATCTCGGGCAGACTCATCTAATCTTTAAAGTCTATGTGCAGTCTTGGGATTGGCTATCACAAGGAGGGGCCATTAGAACGTACTCCAAGTTTCAAAGCCGACAGCGTGAATATTACACTGAGGCTCACACAAGCAGCAAGGACTCGAACCATACAGGGATATTAGACGTGATTAGGCTCACGTACTGGTTTCCTGGTTTGAACTTTAGTCTACTTGCAGAATGTCCGACTTTGGGGTAAACGCTTCGTTTTAAAATGGAATAGCGGTTAGACTTAGGTTACTTAAAGTACGCTTCGCCAAGTTCTCGGTGCGACGGTGCGACGGCATCATTCGATCAGGCGAAAAAGTCAAATCATCCCCACAACTGTGCAATTTGAGTTATCCCTTAACTTTCCATTAGGTCTGGCCTAAATGAGGCCGGATCGAAAACAATTGAGGTTCACTAATATATTAACTGCTTGCTATTGGCATACCAATCCTCTTTGTAATTGTGGCAACAACTAGGCGGTAGTATTGTTGTCAACCGATGAGAAAAAAAAAGGAACCTAGAACTGCAGTGTAAAGGAACGAGGTTGCGCCAGGATCTCATATTCAGATGAATGAATAAAAACTGATGAGAGTGGGATTCGAACCCACGCCCCCGAAGAGATGAGATTATATAATCAAGATTACCTTAGTCTCACGCCTTAGACCAACTCGGCCATCTCACCAATAATAAGTTGGTGTGGCATTACAATTGTCCTCAAACCATCTACATAGGTCCGTCCTCTCAAAACGGCTTTGGGTAGGCATCACATCGTTTAGTGTGAGAATCGGAGTTCAATCCGATTTTTGTGGTCAAAGGGGACAGGATGATATACGCTGTAGGACTCAGTGGTGATGCATATGCTGCCTAGAATACAGTATACAAAATGCAGTTTTACATGTTTTTTCCGATGTGTGATTTTCTTCCTCGTGACCCTTCACAGCTACTCTCAGCAGTTTATATTCAAGTTGTAATCGATCGAACGAGTACTCTGGCAACGAAGCGCAGCTACACACCATTTGGATAAAATCAGCATGTACAGGTGCGAAAGCACATTTGAAACTTCAGTCTATGGCATTACCCTTGGAACGCAATTCCCTTTTTGCTCGTCTCCGCAATACCGCCACCAGCATATCCGGTACCTTTAGTGGAGGAAATTAAGTCAGCAATTGGTCGGACAGACAAGAAATATATAACGACCTTCCCGCTTCAACTCGATAATATCAGTCTTCTTGAGCTTTGTGTCGCAAACGACACATTGTTCAGCAGGTTGCACCAAAGAATCTGCACACGTCTTACAAAGGACGTGTGAGCATGGCTTCATCACTAGGGGAGAGCAATGTAAATGAGAGTTCAAAAGACAGAGAAGTGTCAAAGACGGACAATTCAGCAGAATATTATTTGATAAGGTCTTTCTACAAGATGGGCACACTTTGGTCGATTCGTCGGATGATGAGTTGGAAGAGGTCTTGCCGTCGTCTGAAGAGGCAAATGTAACTGGAATAAGGTCTTTTAAACTAAGTTGGTAGGGTAAGTCACATTTTGACTTAATAATGTGGGTGAAATCGACATACGAAAGCAAATGCGGAGGTCTCGCGGCCTTGCACGTCGTTGAGATTTTCACGTCTTTTAATTTGCCTGCCATCGCAGTGGGGGTCAGCGATGGCAACCAAAAGTCAGGAAGTTTCGATTTGCGTGACTCAGCCTACAAGGCGCATCAATGATGGCCCAGGGACGATGTCGCAGGCTTCATACCTGCTCTCTCTCTATCTGCCTCAGCGCGGCTTCCTCTGCTTCCCGGGCCATAATCTCAACTTTATCCTGGTCGAAATCAAACTTGCGCTTTGTCCTTCTCCCTTATGTATGATTTTTAAGATGTCTGAGCGTGAAGTGGGGCAACGAAATAAGGACAACTTACCTTCTTCCTGGTTGGCACTGCTGCCTGTCTTTCCGCTATCCATTGGTCGTGTAGTACTCAACCCGAGTTGACCATTCTCAAAATCCCGGAGAACTCTCTGACGAGCAGCCTCTTTGGCACGTTCCTTGTCCTCCTCTTCCTCTACCCGCAATGCCTCGATGCGTTCCTTCTGCCGTTTGATGTCCTTCTTCTGAGTCACTTGGACAGGATAAATAAACATCATGGACAGACATATGAAGACATATACAGAATATAACGCACAAAGATCATTATAAACACACTCCTTACAGAATAGATGTCCTGAAGAACATGATAATGGGTCGCGGGCACGTTGAAGACACAAGGAGCACGCATCAAATTGACGCATTGATTCATTTCCAAGTCTCTGACGCTTCGTTCCATAGTCTAACTTCTTGTATTCTGCATAACTGAAGATCGAGGATGCCGTATTGTTCTTGCTGTGTTTCGTCATTGTCAGAGATAGTCGTCGTTCTTGGCGGAGATTTTACTCGCTGGCTTAGATAAGCGATGTGATCACAAAATGTTTAGAAACTCGTATTAGATATCAGATTGTCTAGACGTTTCAATGGGTCACCAATTGTTTTAAACAACCTGTGGTCGATGCGGAGTGATCGATGATTTTGGACGAGCACGGTTCAGTCAACAGAAACCAATGAGACTGTTGAATTAGGCTCTTGCACTCTAGCCCTCTGCCAAGCCTAAACGGCAACATCACACCGTATCGTACCTTTCTTTTCATACTATGTCTTCCAACTGTTGTTTCACTCTCATATCGACCTTGCCTTGTTAGTCTTCAATACTCACAGCCCCCATACCTCAGTTGAATCACTTACTTGTGTCAACTGAGGTACGTTACCACTACCATATTTCCACCTATATTCCTTTGCTTAATGTATTGTAGCCTATTCATTACAGAGACCCAAGAGGGATGCTGGCAAGCAGGCTATAGGAAAGTGCTGGGGTGTTGCACTGCCATGCAAGTGCTGTGACATATTTCTTTTTTCAAAATAAGTAGATAGTTCATCAATTTTGTATTAAAAATAAAATTATATTTCATTAGATCATCAAAATATGAGAACTGTTTCGTCTAGTGTACCCTTTCCTGGTGAAATATACTTTAATTGGCACATCCTTAGTTTTAGCCCTTCCTTGAGTAGTATTGATTCTCAAATAAACTCATGAAAGTCCAAAATAACAAAATCTAACTTCTAAATGACATAGGTCCTTGGTTTACACCAAAAACTTGTAAGTCACCACAGTTACTGTACCTTCCTAATTAGGATGGTAATTTCTGCGACACTGAAACAAGTTTACTTGTGGATGACAGAGGCTCTAAAAAATGTCAAATACTATGTGTGAAATGCTCTATGTCCTAAAAGTGAATATTATACACAGAAAACTTTTTTATTAGAGTTTAGGGTTTACTATACATACCTCTAAGTCTCTTCATAATTGAACCTGGGTCATTTTCTGAGTATTCTTTTAGGCTACTTCTGAAATGTAGCTTCCTCACACATTCACTCTGCTTTGTACTTCTGAGCTAATCAGATTTTTGGTCTATTTAGAGACAAAATGTGAGATTCTTGAGTATCTGGTTCACTGCCTTCACTCCTTCACTAAACCTATATTACATGAAAGTATGAGCATTAATCCATATCACATTCATTCCAAGAGTAAGGAATAAAGGAATATGGACTCCACTATTTCCAATCTCATGGCATTGTGGACACACTGGTGATGGCAATGAAGAAGCAGTGCAGGGGTTTACCAATGAGTACATTCACTATGATCAGTATCATAATTGGTCTCATATTAGTTGTCAACATGCTCTGTGTTGGGTATCCTGAAGAATATAAGGGATAGTTAATCTACAACTGTTATGACATATTCAATCTTCCATAATCATCCATACTTTCCAACCTGACTTCTGTCCATGGAACATTCCTAGTTTCCATACTTCCAAACCTCATCCTTGTTCCGCATTTGGTAACTTGTCCATTGAGAAGTATTCATTTGTTTTCTTGTTATATTCCCATCTTATTGTGATCTTAGTATGTAGTATAATAACAAAAGAATCTATATTAGTTTCTGCACATTTTGAAAGGCTGCTGTCTAATGCAGCCTTACATTGGCATCGGTCCAGACGTTGATAGGACCAAACTGTATTCCTCGAGAATGGCGAGTATGGTACACGATGATGACGGTAAGTAAAACGATATGAAAAAACTACTATGTGCGTCTGTGATAATGTAATCAGTATGTCGTAAGCCACCAGGCTTACACATTTGTACTTTACATTAAATCTGATATTGACTTAGTTTCTTATTCCTTCCTTCTTTCTGTATGCTCAATATTTGGAACTCTTTGGAACTCTGAATATCCATAATGAAATTGAGGACATTCCGAGTGTTTGGGTAGGGGCACAGTACATATGTATGTCCATAAGCTGAAGCCAATGTCCTGACCCTATCCAGAAGTTTCTGAGTTCCTGGTCATTTCCTGATAGTTCTGGAATACATTTCCAACATGGCACTTAACAACAACCCAGTGACAAGAAGGATGGTGATCAGCAAATGAGCTGAATTTGATGAATGATACACATGGAATCTGTTAGGATCCCTGTCATTTGGTCCCCCACAACCTTGTTTTACCTTCCCTGCCCTCCAGTGTCCTGCCATTGGTACCCCCAACCACAGTGTCACTGCCTGTGGCACTGGACACCTGTTTCACCACATTTTTCCCTTTTCATCATCCCATCCCATCTCTGTCCCAATGCTCTCCCATCACCTGTTCTATGTGTAAATGTTATTTGCCACCTCATACCCTCTAGAATAGCTTTGTTACTTCATATTTAGTTCTAGTCTGATACTCACCCCTTCCCACAGTGTTTCAACAACTCAAAGACACTTTTGTATTGGTGCCTGTACTTACACACCGGCAACCAGATGGAGAAATCCACCCAGTTGTCTTCCTTTCCAAAACATTTACCTCTACAGAACTCAATTATGATGTCCATGATAAAGAACTCCTTGCCAATTTTGAGGTGTTCAAGGCCTGGGGTATCATTACCTCAAGGGTTTAAGGACCCCAATTGACATTGTCACTAACCACAAGGATTTAGAATACTACACTACCACGAAGCTTCTTACTTGCTGGCAAGCCTGATGGTCAGAATACCTCTCTCAATTCCACCTTGTAATTTGTTTTTGGCCTGACAACTTGAGCAACAAACCTGACACTATGACTAGACAATGGGATGGCTACCTTAAAGAGGGAACCAATGACTATGCAACAGTAAACCCACATAATTTGAAGACTATCTTCACCTCTTATCACATCATGGCATCCCTCTGCACTACCTCTCTATAGTCTTACCATACTTTGTGGTGTCACCATTATGGATGCTACCAAACTCCACCAAGACATCCTTTTGGACCTCTGAAATGACCTAATTACAAGTGCCCATCTTGACAATTGTAAGGGAGTGAGACTCCCTACACTGTGATCTTGTCATCGATACCTGTGATGTCATGTATCTATTATCATGCATTCACATAGATCATACCACTTGCCTAGATTGTACCACTTGTCTTGATTGTACCACTTGCCTAGATTGTACCACTCACCCAGATTGTACCACTCCCCTAGATTGTACCACTCTCCTAGATTGTACCACTCCCCTAGATTGTACCACTCCCCTAGATTGTACCACTCACCTAGATTGTACCACTCACCTAGATTGTACC